CTTCGAGCCATAGGTTGTGACAGGTCAATAAGAGAGATTCGCTTTTCCTCCTCATACTTACCACTCTCGCCTCCCCAGGTTCATAGTCATCTGCAAAGTCACCTACCTCAGGAGTCATCGCTGGAAACGTAAGGAGCGATCCTTTACCTCTATATAGAGATGTTACACAATAATAAAAGCGAAAAGATAAGGTTTCTGGTGGCCTGACGGATATCACGCCCACGGAAAGCGTGAGGTGTGGATTGAAGACCAGCTTAGGTCAATTTTTGAGCCATGAACGCGGTCTTGAATCCATACCTCCTATAAACCAGCAATTTTTCGATAACTTTCAGAGCTCAAATCACAGCATCAAATAGAAGTTAGCATGACAAAATGACTGTAAGATAGTAAAATTGGTAAATTTTCCTATCATGCATGACTAATCCGAACTCTTCCTCTCAAGAAGACGAGCGATGGCACGACAGATGGTGGACACGACTCCAGGACTACCGAGAAGCCTGCTACCGCCAGCACCCAGAACCCTGTACGTGTTGAGAAGCTTCTCTATTCTCACAGTTACTCAGCAACCCTCTTATGAAAGGCATTTGAAGAGGCGAAAGCAGCGTTGACTCTGGACATCGAAACAACTTCAATGCCCGAGTACCGCGCGTAGTAGTAAGGAAACTGAAATAGAGAAATCAATCTCTGTATCAAGCCTTGCTCGCCCCTTGGTCATGCTTTGCTGTGGCCATGCAGGCAATTGACGGGATTGGTGAATAGAATCTGCACTTATTTCTTCCATTCGACCATCTGACATGGGCTTTGAAGCTGTTCCGCTATTCCTAGTTAACAAGTTCTTCTCCATTTTGCTTAGTTATGCTCCTTAATCTCTTTCAAACGAAAGAACGGTACTTGCTAATCCATGGCTTCTTTTTCGACGCAGGTGACGCAGTCAGGCAAGGAGCGAACCACAACAGTGTCACCTTCTGAGCCATTTGATTCTATTGCCGAATATAACAAATGGATTGCTGAGGTAAGCAACAAATGAATTGTTTAATCGAATAGTGACATGTTTAACGGTTTCCGCGCAATGCATAGACACCTACTCAACTTTGACCCTAACTGGCCTACCGGTTGGTTTGAAGATTGTGGGCTAAAGGCTAGCTTGTTTGTTTCTGTTGCGATAAAAATTCGTAGACCTCGCAGGTACAGTACATGCCCCGGAGGTGGGCGCAGCGTCGCTGGCTGCATACTCCAATTTTCAGCAGCTGCTCTCCTGGTGATAATTACCGTTTTGGGGCTATTGCTATGGTGCCCAGCCCAAGACAAGACGATAGTCGTCTCAAACGCTTAGAACTCGATAAGGAGCCCACAGTTGAAACACTTCTTGGAAATGCTGCAAGAAAAAGAACACTTGGAAAAATCTGCTTACTGATAGACCCCTATCATCTTCTATGTACAGGGGGGCAAAAAAGTCACTTCGACCGAGTCACATATCAGCAAAGTTTTCGCTGCCCAGACAGAGGACGTGGATACGAGTACCAGGGCGGAAGATACCCAAGATGTTCCTCTATAAGCAGGAGCTGGCTCTCGCCCATCACCTTCATGTACACCAAAATATGAAGTCATCTCCAGTCGCAGCCTGACTGGAGAAGACCTTTGGAATTCATGTCACCTCCAAACAGCTGCGAAACTTCTAGTATGGAGTCACCCATGGATAGCTACCTGGAGACCAGTACTCTCGATCTGGAAGATCTCCAACATCGACCTGGAATGGGAATACCAATATTTTCTTTCGTTGGCCGGACTGAGTGAAGCGCTAGTGGCTACATCAATAGCAAACTCGTGAATGAAATCTTCCATCACATTGTGGTTCGCCCGAGTCCTTCATTTTTTTTTTTTTTGGAAACTTTGTACTGCTACAGCATTGGGTGCCACCACGTGGAATCGAAGGGCATTGGAAAAACTCTCGCCCACTTGGAATGGAAGGGGGCTGAATACCTAAAAAGGGAATATCCAAGTAGGTCACCTGACCTGAATCCCTCAATTACCCGGTTCGGGCGGAGTTCAATAGGGTGGTCTACGGTGGCGGAGAAATCGACTATCTCGCTGATCTCAGGCACCACATCGCGGTCGCGTGCCAGAATCTCTCGATGGCGCTCGTCCAGAAGGCTGTGGCGGAGTGTCATGATAGTATTTAATATGCTCTTTAATATGGTGGTAAAAATGTCCGATCAGAATTTAATAAAGTGTAACTTATAGCGCCTCGAAAGTCAATGAAGGAAAGTGACTTTTTTTGCCCCCCCCCCCTGTATACGCTAGAAGCGGTCCATTCGGACGGCTGTCTTAGTTGATTCATAATGAACGACTTTCCTGGAAGCTAAAGTGTCCATGGCTTGCAATGTCCCCTGCGGGACATATGTAGGCCGTTCAAAAAGCTTCTCAAGAACGGGTCCCTTTCACGAAGTGGGTTTGGACTCTCAGCGCATAAGATGACCACGTTCCACATCTTATTGGTGGAGGAACCGTATTTGCCCTTGATAAACCATATGTGTTGATCGGGGCTCCTTTAGATCCGGTATTTATTCCTATAAAGCTAGGCAGTAACACATAGCTGGAACGAGGATGCTGAGATGGACCTGCGGCTGGACACGACTCGATAGAGTCAGAAATGAGGACGTCAGGGCGGTCACACAGACGGCTCCGATCCAGCTGAAGGCACGAGAGCAGCTGCTGCGGGGGTATGGGTACGTGCTGAGAAGGCCTAGGATCACCTAGTGAAAGCGTTGGACTTCAAAGTACAGGATAAGCGACCATGTGGGGCCCTTAAGGGAATATGGCGGGACCACTAAGAAGTTCCCCACTGAAGTGAAGTGTGAAGTGAGTGCCATAGCAGGAGATGCATTGGATCGGAACAAGTGGACGTCCAGCGAGATCAGCCAGTGTCGCGATGGCGCGGGACTAACCCAAAGCAGAGGGAGAAGAAGTCAGAAGACCATTCAGTTGACCACTTTTGCTAGTTTCAAATGAATACATGACTAGGTTTCGCTTTTATAGGGCGGATCTCAAAAAATATTATTTCAGAAGGCCGCCAAACGAAAACAGATCAGAGAAAACGGTTACAAAAAATATCAGCAGATGATGTTCAAGGTGGGTTTCCATCTTAGAGTCATTTTCGTAATGAGAAACGAGCGGTTTACCATTGAGACACACGTGAAAAAAAAGAAATTAGGCGCCAGTAACCTTGGGGTGGGTCACACCTGTGAGGCTTCTCAGTATGTGACTTTCCTTTTCTCCTTTCGCCTTTTCACAATCGTGTCTCACCCTCCAAATTCTGTGAATTCTCGACTAGTACCCTGTAAAAGCTTGTCAGGCTTGGCGAAATGGGGCAAGTGTTATAAGAACGCCATGGGACAGTTCGGCGACGGGAGGGGGCGGGGGAGGAGCATTTTGCACTTCTGTATTTTTCGTCAACGTGGAGACCCATCTAGAGAGCTTTTTGTGAGTTGACAGGTTTCACCATGGTGGCTCGACGAGCTTGCTCCAGCTTCACAAGAGTTCACAGGTTTCACCAGAGTGAGACAATAAACCGGAACTAGTGAAGCAGTGAAAGTGCAAAATGCCCCCCCCTCCGTGACCAGATTGCGCTGAACGCCAATTCTTCATTTTTTCCGAATCTTGACGAGTTATTCTGACAAGTTCAAGGAGTTTACAGGGTGCTTGACAGGTGATAACAAGTCTTGCAGGGTGTTGACAAGTTCATCCGATATTCACGTCTGCAATTTACAGGATTTGGTTTACTGACAAAAGAATTATAGCCGTGCCCCCCACAAAGCTATTCGCGCCCGGAAGTACTCTGAAATTATAGTTTTGCTTTACAGAGTGGTCGTAACATTGTCCCAGTCCGGCTATTCTTCGACACCGACCCAATTGGACCACCGAGGAAGGATACAAGTGAGGAGTTCCCAAAGCGCGTCACTTCGCCCTCGCCTGATGACAAGAAAGTCACGCAGAGGGTGCCCGTAGTGAACGTAAATAACAGTATCCAAAAAGAAAGTAAACCACAGTTGAAGGAAGTGAAGGAACTGAAGAGGACGGAACCACGCCTTCTCAATTCCGGAAACACCAACCTAGAACCAGTTACCAAGGAAGATCTACCTGTTATTGGACCAGAACGGCCTACAACGCTTCCAACACCATCTCGTGAACAGACTTCAGGTTCAGGTTCGGCTTCAGGTTCAGGTTCAGGTTCAGCTTCAGCTTCGTCGGGAATATCGGGCAGTATCGAAGAAGATGAGATCGGAGGTAGTGGAGTTGCACCAGCTGCAACTAGCGAATCCCAAGAAGATCTGCTGTTTGTGGACAGCAACGGAGCAGCTTCATCATCAGGGTCAAGAGAATCAGCGAGCGTGGAGAAAGTCGGCACATCCCCGCAATCGCCTGCACCATGGGTCCCGAACACATCAGACACGCAAAAGCTCAGCTCAAAACCTGCTGATATCACGAAACACAAGACGCCCATAACTTCCCTCGTCAGCTCAAAACCTTTTGGGTTCGTCAGTTCAACGGCACAAGTGAAAGGTACGTTTGGTTCAGCCCATCATTAAAAAAATATCCAGATAATCGTGTCTTTTCAGCGAAACAAAAGATTCCAAATGGTGGTACGACTGTTGAGCAATTTGGAAGGCGCGTCCCTACACTCCCCACCAGACCCATCATCCCTACCACACAATCTCCACGAATCACCGTTCCAATACCAGTAGCTGGTCCTACACCAGCGAATCGCAGCGATACGCTGCCACAACTCGTATCAATGCCCCCACTAAACACTCTCAAGTCATTCTCGTCATTAAAAACACCCGTAGACATTGCCACAAAACGACTACCATCACCATCACCACCACATAAGAAAATATCTCAAAACAGACTGATCGACGAGAATCGAAGGAAGTCCTCTGGTGTACTTGGCCTGAAGGGTCTGCTGCAGGCAAGGAATCAGAAGCAAAAGTTCACTCAACATCACAATGGCGCCACGCCGACATTTGGCACAGTGGATTCCGATAAGATATTCCGACAACCAACACCCAAAGGACGACAACCACTGGACAGGAGTCAGTTCATCAAAACACGACCGAGGTAAAAAAAATCGATAAAATTACGTTAATTTCTGTGGTAGTTATAGAGTTATTCTAGTAGAAGTTATAGAAGTTTGGAGAAATTGTAAGAGGTGTTACTTTCAATGGAAATCATAATAATGTAAGAAGATAAAGCTCTTGGCGTTGATCAGCCCTATTCTCGAGATGCGCCATGCACTCTTCTCCCATTCATAATTCCCGTTCTTTCGAGTGCGTCCCGACCTAGGCTTGCACAAGCAGGGTGTTCAAATACTATCTCCTGAGACAGGTTACCGGCCCCAAAGTGGTGAAAATCTCAGCTGGTCCAAGGCGAGCCGATCCGGGACTACGAACAAGACAGGATGCGGAGAGTGAACCTTAGTAGAGAAATGATGACTCTTGCCCAAGTATTCCTGAAAAGTATTTTCACACCATTTAGCTGAGCCGTCAGCGCCGTTTTTTGGATCCCACAGAATAAGGGGAATTTTCTTTCTACTGGGAAGGGCCCCCACAAATCCTTATCCGCAGGCCTCATCCGTGGCGTGGGTGAACGGTTTGGACTGTTCCAAAAACGGTACAATGCAGCCGGGGGCCACTTCCACGTCAGAGCCTGGCGAGCTACGCGTGGTTAATTTTCTTCTCGCCGAAAACAGTAACAACTATGGGCCTCATTCCCCTGAAGCTGAGGGAACCACCGACAGGGCGACGTCGGCTGGGACCGCTCGGACGAGGCTGCTAAAATCACAGGGCCAACGGAGATTTGAGTCGCCCAGGACTAGGATGACGATCTGTACTTTCAACGCACGGACGCTTGCATCGGAAGCTCACATCGAAGATCTGATGTTGCAAGCCAGGAAGATCAAGTACGACGTCATCGGACTGACCGAGACGAGGAGGCATCGCCCGCTACACGCCGTGTACGAGACTGGAGAAG